GTTTTCTTCACACTTTCCTTTCGATTGTTTGACAGATTGGCATTGGTTATGGATATGGATCCAGGCGAAGGTACTTCAGATGGCCGTGTGCAACGTAAGCCGGGCAGCGTTGCGGTCGAAATCAAGCAAGAGCCAGACATTAAAGATGAACCGTCGAATGGCATTAAATTTGATTTGATGACACGTCCAAATGGATGGTTTGAAGGCGATGCAGCCACAGCGACAGCGACATCGAACATCGAATCGAAACGCGAATCAGAAAGTGATTTTATCATCGACTTTGATTTGAATGATGTGAAAAAGGAAGTGAAGTGTGAAGAAGAGAAGCCAGAAAAAGGAAAAGAAAATGCTTCGTCAATGGGCTGGAGCTCAGATGCAGCCGAACCGAATGCTCTTGACGGTCAAGACAATGAACAAAGGGATGGATCAGAGGCCGGTCACAGACGTCCCAATGCGAACGGCAAAGGAAAGAAACGCGATGGATCGAGAAAGCAGAACAGACGAAAGATTCCGAGGAATAAGGCGGCGAAGAAACGAAAGGAGCACAAGTGTCATGTGTGTGGTTATGTTACATCGTATAAAGGTCAACTCAATGCACACATTCATAGTCACACAGGCGAAAGGCCATACAAATGTGATCAATGTTCAAAAAGCTTCACATTCAAATGTAATTTAAATCGGCACAAGCAAATCCACAGTGGAAGCAAACCATATGAATGTTCCGTTTGTGTCAAAACATTTACACACAAAAATAGCTTGTATTGTCACGTGCGAACTCACACTGATGATCTGGCTCATTCTTGTTCGAAATGTGGTCATCGATTTGCCGGAGAAGAGGCCAAACAACTACACGAGAAGAGCTGCAAGCGACGTCGTTTCGAATGCTATCTCTGCGAATTGAAATGTTTTGTCAAAAGCAGTCTCAAACGTCATATGCAAGCAAAACACACCGGTGAACGTCGATTTCAATGCAAAGTCTGTAAAAAGCGATTCACCCAGAAAGGTACACTCAATCGACATTTGGCACAGCATCGCGATCAGTTTCCATTTGTATGCATCAAGTGTGGTCGAGGATTTTCAACAGAAGGCGATAAAACGGCACATGAGAAGATCTGCGGTCGTCGTCAACATCAGTGTTACGTGTGCAAGGTGTTTAAGCTGCAAAATTCCAATTTACGCAATCACATGCGAGTCCATCATTCAGGTGAAAAGCCATTCAGCTGCAAGTGGTGTAGTGTACGTTTTGCAAACCAAAGCAACCGCAACAAACATATGAAGACATGTTATCTTTTAAGGAAATAAGAAAGTTCCATCATCTGCTGCGGTCATCATTCGATTCAACGCTACATCGTAAGAAAATAACAAATACCGAACGATTGGCTTAATTGAGCGATTGTTTCTTACTTTGTTTGAAATTTTCAGAAATATATCGAATTTAATTGAAATTTAATCCATTCTTCATATTTTCATCTAAACTTTCATCTTTCGGATAAAAAGTCAAATTGAATAGAACTTTGAATTGAAACTTTCTTTTTTTAAACCTCACTGTTGGTCAAAGACAATCTATTTAAATAGATGGAATTTCATACAAGGAAATCTTGTGCTCTGAACATTTTTGTAAAAATATTTTCGGATTTAATAAAGTTGTTAACGACTGCAACAGTGGTAGACTGTATATAAGAGAGTTTGGAACAATTACTTCATGCAATCATCCATCGTGGATTTTCCTTTAAGAAATCATTCTTCTTAAGCAAGGGGAGAGACACCAACGCTAGTTTCACTAATTTATTCTATTGTTTCCTAATGTATGCTATTTTTGCTAGTTTCCCTCAATAAAAGTGCTATTTTTTGCTAATATTTCCAATGTGCAACGTGACAGTTTGACAGTTCACGTACAAGTAACACTCATCAAGTTATTGTTGTATGCTTGGAAAGAAAGCAAAAAATTATATTTTGGCAATTTTTCTAGTGTTATTTCATAGAAAAGAACAAATTGTTCCATTTAATTTCATAAAATAACTCGAAAACTTTGTTTTAAACGGTTAAAAACAGTAAATAACAAATCGCTATTTCTTCAATAATATTGCTATTTTTTGCTATTTTTGCTATTTTCCTCTAGTATTTATATGAACTTCAAAAAAATAGCTAATGGTGTCTCTCCCCATGTTCTTAAGCTTCTAATCAAAACTTTGCTTTAAAAAATGTTTAATTCTCTCACAACAAGCTTTTCTACACCCATCTGTGTGATAAAACTATTTTCATATATACTGATACGCTGAGACTGTGATAAATCGTAATCTTTACAGAAATTCGTTCAGAATTATGAGTAAGCAATGAATT